ACACAGAAAAAAATGATGTAGCATTGGATAAGCACGCTACATAACTATGGTTGACCTTCAACTACAGGCAGCCCATCATGGTCCCAAAACTCTGCTAATCTTCATGATTTCAATGCCCAGTCAGTGTGTATCTTATCAAGGAATATCTTGAAGTGGTTCACTTGTTTGATTTCTTTTATCACATTATCCAGCACAAGTTGGAGGCGGTGGTTCAAGCAGTGCCAGATTAGAATGTTTGGGAAGCCTTGAGCTATTCTGGTGCTGACTCCAGATTTTCTACCAAGCATAACGCTGACACCATCGAAGCAGAATGCTATTTAATTCTTCTGCAGATATTCGGTGGTAAACCCAACTTTACGTAAGCTTCCCATCGCTGCAGAATATATGGTCTCCGCATCTTGTTTCTCCAATTCCAACAGCTCAATGAAAATGGTTGCTGGGCATTCTGAATCCTCAACTTTAACAAAAACTATCAACTGCTTTCATTGGTAGCGTTGAGGCTTCATCGATTATTAAACATACCTTTAGATTCTTTGCAATAATGCTGGCAAACACGGTGGTTTTAATTTCGTTTGCAATGAATTCAACTATTTTCACTGCGGATCTCCGTGAATGCAAGCCTACTCTCACATCTACTCCAATTGCAGTTAGCAAATCTACCTGCCCTTCGATGTCTGAGAATGGCTTGTATCTTTGTGTCAGATTGCAAACAGTAAAAAATATTTTGCAAGTACTGGATAAATGTTTGTCAGTTCCTTCAATTTTTTTCTGAGAGATGATTGCTGATTCTCCTTAGTTGTCCCTGTTTCCACAACCTGGAAATTTTTCTACTCTCTAGAAACATGAATACCTTTCTCTAATGAGAACATGGGTTTCATATAGTACTCACAACCTAACTTTTTGTTGGATACTGCCAGTCCATCATAATTCTCCTTGAAGTTTCTGTATTGCTGCAAACTCCAGCAGCCAGGAAGTTTGGGAAGTTCAGTGGAGGAGATGGACTTGCTGCTTTCTTCAGCTTCAAGTGGTGCTGGTGCTGGTGCTGGTGCTGGTGCTGGTGGTGCTGATAACTTGTGGATCAGCTGATTGCTCTTCTCTTGGTTTTTTGGAAAAGAAAGTGGTCATACTCTTGTTGCCTCTTCTTCATCCTGTTAAATAATACTAACTGCAAAAGAAATAAAACAATATTGGACTAAATCGTGATTGTAAACTGAGGACTACAGGTAACAGAATGGACCTCTGTTTTCACCCAACAATGTATAGTCTTTTCAGGAAGGATGTCCCCCAACAAACAGGAAAGATATAGTTTTTCATTTAAGAAGTTAGATCAAGAAAAATGAATGTCATAGGTAGATTAACAGAGGAATACAGATTTCTTTTTCTGGAATTTATTCCTCAATTCAAAAAACAGGAATATATAAATTAGGTTCAGTACTTAGGTCAGTCCAAGTAGC